TTCCCTTTCCCTTTCCCTTTCCCTTTCCCTATCCTTTTTATATGCATATTTGTTTTAGGTTAGATCCCTTGGAAAGGTCTCAAAATTATTAGTCCCATTGAAAACTGTACATTTTATTTCTCTTAATGATTTTTTTTTAATAGAATTCAATAGACAGTAGGCTGTTGGGTTACCATTGATAACTTCAGTTAGTGCTTTTATTGCCTACTGCTCCCTTCCAGGATACACTTGATTTGTCTTGCCTCTTCTCATGAATTATTAGCACTGGGTATAGTTACTCAAATCTTTTGATTAGCTGGAGACTTAATAAAGCTGTTTATACTCCATTTTTTATGGGTGGCTTCAACTCCAGAAATTGCTTTACTAATTGATTTCAGGATGGATTTGCTAGTGGCTGAGGAATTAATGTCTGCAGTGGCTCTTACATGACAAATTCTTTCCTATAGCCAGATTGTTCTTGGACTTCACTCTTGTTTTTAAGAAAACAAATAATATGCTTGGCATAACTAACCACAGTTGAGGTTTCTCTTAAAAAATATGGTTCTAGCATGATTTTATATTATTTTTGTAATTTTGTATTGCTGTTCTTCAAACCTTTCTCTAATGCTGGACTGTGCAAGAGCATATGACTGGATATAAGGAAGAAATTTTCTACAGTGAGGGTGGTGAGTCACTGGCATAGGTTGCTTGGAGGAGATGTGGCTGTCCCATCCCTGGCAGTGTTCAAGACCATGCTGGATGGGGCTTGGAGTAACCTGTCTAGTGGAAGGTGTACCTGCTCATTGCAGAGGGGTTAGACTTGATGATATTTAAAGGTCCCTTCCAACCCAAACTGGTCTGTGATTCTATGAAAGGGTCCTGCTAGTTTGCATGTGCTTAGTATTTCATCAACTGCTGTAGAGGGAAGGTGCTCAGAGAGCTGTGTATCCCCTCATATCTTATTCTGCCTTTGTTTCTTTAGTGCAGCAGTTACAGTGGCATGTCCCTGATGTTGCAGTCTGCACTAATCATATGAGACTGCTTTGTTAGTAGTATTGGGGTTTGCTGGCATCAAGGCTCAAAGGGCAGCTTGGCAGCCTGTTCCCCTGTGGCTTTTTCCCTGCTTGCTGACACCTTTTCTGACGGTGTCTTTCCTTTTTCTGGAGTAACCATGCAGGAATAAGCAGCTGCATATGCAGCCTACAAATACCCTTTAACAGTGCCTGAGATTGCAGACCCATTTGCAGCAGTTTTCTGTGGTAGCTTAAAAACTTAACTGACTTAGTCCTGTGCTTGAGTCCTGTGGTTTGCTATTTTGCATATTTTTTTATTTTTTCCCAAACAATCTGTTTTTCTTATATTAGTGATTTTCATCCCTTGCGCTTGTGTTACAGAAATGCACCAGTGCCTCTGAGCTCCTGCTGCTTGTCAGAGCTTAGCATCTCCAGGAGGCTGCTGGGATTTGAATGGGAGGTTTTGACCACTATATAGTGCTTGCTTTTCTGCTTGCTGCAGTTGTGCATCTGTCAGATATTCTTCCCTCTAATAGACACAGGTATTGAGACCCATATCTCCTAGTTAGCCCTAGGTCAACAAAAGTGTCATGGCTAAAGTGTCAGGCAGACTGCTGGGATTCTTGGTCTTTTATTAATCTTCAGGAAGACTTGTGGCATGTGGGAACGCAGCTTGTTCCCTTGTATATTTCCTGGAGGGCATTTGTAAGGTCAAGTTCAGAGGGCAAGGTCTAAAATGAGACAGAGGTATAACACGAGTGCTCAGGTCTGAGGGTGGACCAGATTATAATGGCTACAGAGCTTGCTGGGTCCTTGAATTTTCTATTACGGTGTTATCTTGGCTACTGAAATTTGGACTCACGCGTTGCATGAGGCTGTTCTGCCAGGTGGAATCTCAAATCTGGTGCCATCCAGAGAGGGGAGAAAGTGGGGTCTAAATTTTATGACAGTTTATGGCTTAACCTGCTTAAACAGCATCTGAACATTCTTACATGGCATCGCATTTTTGTTTCCCAGATCAAAGTCAGTCTTGGATGCTGTGTCTAGGGGGGGCTGTCAGTTGCTGGTGCAGCTGGTCTTTTGGTTATAAAAGCACAAACCAGTCCCATAAGCAGTGCAGGTTCACCTTTTTTGAAAGGTCCAACTGCTGTGTTAAAGCTGGGCTCTAACTTCATATGAATCTGCAAAACTGCCCTACATCAAAAGCAGAAAGGATAGGATCAGATCTGAAAGTGGTCGCGTAGTCTCCTTGGATTTTAAGTCTTCAAGTCCTTTGGGTCTGTGATTTTAAAGTGATTATATGAAATGACTTTAGAACAAGGAAGCTTTTCTGTCAAGCTTGTTCTGCAGAGGTTGTGGGAAAGGTTCCTAAGAAAAATTCTCTTTAGGGCAATTGGGCCTTCCCTGTTGTAAGGGCTTGAGGGAGGCATAAAGTGGCAGTCCTTCTCGCATGTTATGCCTGTTAGGAACCAGCACCTGGGGAACTTTGACAAGAAGGGCCTCAGCTTCCCATTACTAACTCTGATGATGCCTGGGACAGGTGAGACACTGAAGATCCATGTGAAGATCCCAGTCTGCCACACAAGAGGCATCGAGGGGACCTTTTGACTTATTTATTGCTCATGGCTTAATGCAAGGGAACTGCTTCCCTGGGAAAGGGAGAAAGAACTGCAGTAACTGCCATCAGCAGTAAATGCTAATCTCATTCTTTAAATGAAGTTTTCCTGTTTCCCACTGAATGCATGT